ACACAGCTAAGAAACTGAGATTAACTATTAGCATGCATTATCTCAGCAAACCAAATTTTACACGCGATTTCAATAAGAAGCTCGTCAATTCAAACTTAAGTGATGTCTTTTAGAAGGACAGATAGATGACGACATATTGGAAAAATATGGTCTGCACATGCCATAATACAAATGGCTGCACGTAATCAAAGATGCTAACAAAGGTTACATTTGTTATTCGAGGCAAGCGTGGTCACATACATGCTGTGTTTCACAGAGAGGTGTCGTCTGCCACCAGTAGCGCTCACTGTGGCTCTGTCGACTCACATTGGCCGTGTGATGCTGTAACGATGCATGAGCAGCAAGCCATGCCAAATTGTATATCCAGGAACAGAATGGAACAGCTATTATCCATAATCAACTTATCCATAAATCATGCGTTTCAAAGGGGTCAGGAAATCTGTCATTTCTCCTGCTATGCGTGGACCTCTGGGGGTATGCAGATCGGGTGGTTGGAAGCACGGGATCAGAAGACAAAGCACAACATTTCCATAAAATTATCACACGATGCGCCGGATCCACGAAATTAAATGCGGAGGCTTTTAAATTCTGCACCGCATATCAAGCAATATGAATATTTCAAAGTAAGTGTTTAATTGCCTCGTTTTCAAGCAGATGAATATCCTGTAAAACACCACTTTTATCAGACTCTTTGCCCTAACAAAAATATATATATAAAATGTCAAGGGTTTAACCAATCCTACGATTTGGGAAGGCTGCAGAGTGAAGACATATGCCTTAATGCCGAAGCACTGAAAAACCATCGTGCACCTTATCCACAGCCATATGCTTTGCTACTGTGGCCACCGGGATAGGAGTGGCGGGCTATGTGGCGTTGTGCCGGTGTGAGAGATGCGAGGCCGCCAAGCTATCGCTCCCGATCGACGTGATTGAAATAGCAATAACGGAGATGCAGTGCCACTTCCGTCGAGAGAGATATCGAGTTGTGTTGCCCACTCTTGGAGCCAGGGAGGAGGAAGGCTGCTCCATTTGAGCTCCATGTCACGGTTGAAAATTGCGCCTGCTCCCCCATTTTAGGGTTAAGCTTATTGTTGACAGTGCGCTGTAACTATAATTCATCGTGATGTTGATGCATCTGCTGCCATTGTTGCTGGTTGTCGATGGATCCGCTCTCTCTTCACAAAGCCGGATGAGTAGCCACCAAAAAAAGGTCAAAGTGGTTTCCAGCTGAGCAGGGAGCAATGGTCATCTCATTTATGGTGAAAAGTGATATATTCAACATCCCCATTGCAATTCGCCAAAACTGTTTTTTTTTCTGCCGTGTGGATTGGGGCGCCATGGTGCCAAGTTGTTAACTATCTTACCTGGTATACAAGAGGTCGTAGGTTTGATCCTGACCATGACGTCTGTATGTTTGGGGTTTGGATGTCTCTCTCTCCTTGCGGTCGCGTGGATTTTTCTCCACGTTCTCCGGTTTTACCCTCCACATTAATAAAACAAGCATCTATAGTATATGGCTAATGTAAATTTACACGCGATAAGCCACTTAGTTGAGCTATAATCTGTTGCCAGGTCGCTTCTGAAACAGAGCTAAAGAGGTTAGTGCGTGTTACCTGGTAAAATAAAAATAAATCGTTGATATCATGGGACCTCCTTTGCCAGTACCAAAATATAAGAATAGGTTTTCCCCTTTTGTTCTGGCAACAAAACAGGTGTTAAGATGTCAAAACACCAAACTGAAACCTTTTACAAGGAATCATGTCTGCATTAACCACAACACTTGTGTTCAGAATGCAAAAAAAACATACTCTGATAATATATGCATTGCCTTTGAAACTGATTGGTCCACACCAGAGACAGCTTCCTTTGGAGCCTAGTCTCAGAACGGCGTAAGACAATACATGATTCCTTGTAAAAGGTTTCAGTTTGGTGTTTTAACATCATAACACCTGTATGTTGCCAGAAATAAGTTTATAATTTCTGCCCTTTTAAAATTTCTTACCCCAAGACCCGGGGGTGGATCTAGGATGGTGCCAGGCTGGGTTTGTAAAGCGACTGTATTTTTGCACGAGAGATCGGTGGGGGGGGGTGAACAAAACTTGGCGAGGACGTGTTTGTGCTTTCAACCGATACGACACCTGCCCCACGACCCACATGCGCACATTCGGATCCCGGCAGCCCCACCCCCACCGACAGCACTCAGCCCACAGTTGTGGAATCGTGGGAAGGGCGACCCATTAAATGCACCATCCTTCTTAAAATGTGTTTCATGTTTATTAACATGTATGCCACGTAAGTAATCGCCGTGTAATGCCTTGACGATCCCATTGTGATTGTCCAGGCACCACTTCTACGCCCTTGGAACAGTTTGAAGCCAAAGCGAACTGTACACATCTTACGAAAAAATAAGAATAGGTTGAACCCTTCCTGACAATACAACAGGCGTTAAAATGTTAAAACACCAATTAGAAACCTTTATCAAGGAATCAAGTTCGCATTAACCACATGTACTTGTGGTGAATATGCAACCAAACATGCTCTGATAATTATCATTGCATTATAATCTAAGCATTGTCTTTGAAACTGATTGGCCTACATCAGAGACAGCCTTCTTTAGGTCCAGGAAGGATAAACCTTTTCTTATTTTTTCATACTTTGATACTGGCAAAAAGGTCCCATTTTGTACACACCTTCACAGTCATTGCGAGCATCATGCGGCCTTTTTTTTGCACTTGCCCTTGATGTCATTGTTACCGATTTCGTTTTGCTTAATGGAGAGACCATTAATTTATTCTTCAAGGAGTCTAGAACGTAAAAAGTGTTAAGGTGCCAGATCTTGGCGGTAGGGTGGTTGAAGGAGCGTATTTTTTGGGATGGCATTTGCTTGTATACAGGCTGTTTTTTATTTCGGTAATGAGATGAAGAGATTAACATCATAGCACCCGCTGAAGAACACAATGCAGAGCATCCAATATTTGCGATTACGGTCTTTACCGCTAAATGCCGGATGCCACGCGTATCCTTCAACTTGCGACACACAACGAAAAACTGTGCAGCAGTTCAAGCATGTAACATTTCACACCTCCGTAATTCATTCGTCACAATTTGGATTTATAATTTGATTCAACGATTGATTTTTTTTTACTTACCCATGCGTAGCATTTATAGGAGAAGAAGAAGCAATGGCAAGTATCATGAGCATAAGGATTAATTTGAACACCCAGTCCGAACCCTATCTTCTTTCCAAATGATTGGTAGTAGTGCGCTAGTACATTAAGCCAACAGAAAAATCTGCACATTACTCAATTACGCTGTGGTATTAAAGAGACAAAATATATAATAAGCGATGTCTTGGGCAATGGCCCTTCTTCATAGCACATAGAGAGGCCAGTATACCAGTGGTTCTCAACCTTTGTTGGCGACTCTACCCACCTTGCTGAATTTACCCAACACGGTTCTCATAAATACATGTATGAATAATGAACGTCAATATTGTAACCCAATTGTCCATTCTGTGAGGTATCCTCACCAGCTAAGTAACTGCAAGTGAATAAAAAACTAATATATCTGCATGCGTGACGTAATTTGTTCTCGCTCGCTGGTTACTCTTGGAAACCGATTGTTTATGATCAATGAGCTTCGAAAGGCCTTTTATATCGTTCTAGGTTACCACATGGATTCAAATTATGTCGTAGTTATTTTATATTGGCATATTCGTACATGATTATTCATCAATGACTATCATGTATGATGTAATTTTGCACATTTATAAATCACCTCACATAGTCCCTGGGACATTGCCACGTTAACCCCAGGGATCCTCGGACCTCCGGTTGAAAATCACACTGCAGTCAACAATCAGAGTGGACACTGCACTTTTGAGTATGTGGCCTCATGAGAATAAACATTTTCTCGTATGTTTTCTTCTTTCAGGTCACTTCCTATGCCGGTTTAACATATTGTCTTAACCCGGATAGCTTTTTTTGGTACCTTTCCACAGTGAGTGCTCATTGGTGAGATACCTTCCGCCCCTCTCACCCATACGCATCATTACAACGGCATCCAGCACATTTCTGCCGCGCGAATTGGACCCATTGTCCTCATCATGGGACCCGTTGACCAACTCAAACGCTGGTTGTTATTACCAGCTAAGGCGGACATGAATCCTGCCCTCAGTCACTGTTAAGCACCTTCTTCATTGAGAAGTGGATCTCTGTTGTGTCTGTTGCGGTCTATTAACACAATCCGTCTTTTGGCTCGGGCATGCGCGACGTCAAATCGCCGGTGGCGACATAGGGAATTGCTTATCCTCTTCCTAGACAAAGCTGGGAGAGAGTGATGTTTATTGTACGCGTAAATGTGTTTTCGTCAAAATTCTGTGATCGCACGTGAAGGAGTTCCTACCGTTGCTGAGAGATGTTTACGCTTGAGGGAAAATTAGGGAACGATATCCACATTTAAATGTGCCAACGCCACATCAAGGGTGGTCGGAATATATCCGGTCAGCTCGTGGAATCAATAATTTGTATGAAGTCATCCACCCCAGTTTAGCAACTCATGCTCAATCATTTCACCAACATGAAAATTGCACCCATTTTCTAGTTATATTAAGAGTGAAACCCAATGGTTCAGCCTAACAATCGAGTTTGTATTCATATACACTGACAGTGTTTTGCCCTTTTATACCTTCTTTAAAAGAAAACAAAATATATAGTTTAGGTAATTTTCATTATTAACGTTCAATCTTCTATGCAGTTAAATATTATTAATGTGCACAGTATTTACAGAGTGCAAATTCCGTGTAATTGGTGTAACACGTATTATTCGTATTTTGATTATGCACAATGTAAATAATAAGATAAATGGGCATGGAAAAAGCAATTTCATTATTTGGCTGCACATTTAGGTAAGAAGCCAATTGTTATACACTGTGAACAAGAAAATGAAAAGCAATACACCATTCATCTCAGCTCACCATGAGTGCGTCACTCAAAACATACCTTAAGTTGCACCTTGCGTGACGCCGACAGCTTTGCTTTCTGTTGCACAAAATAGAGAATGGTTAATACCAAGTATATATATTTCATTATTAAATTTAGAAACATAATTACAATACCAAGCATGCACCATTCCCCACGTTTTCACACAGATGCGGTGAATCATTTGCAAGTGGGATACCAAGCTGTAACATGCATCAGTTTCAGTTTCATTTATTAGGTATAGCCCTGTGAGCCATGCGGCTCTTGACTCGGGTGCAACCGCAACAAACAAAAACATGAACAAAGAACATCTTAAAGTGACGACGCGCAACAGAAACATCCAGGAAAAACCAGCAAGATCTTCCAGAAAAAAGCACCGTATATGAAAGCTGTGTGCAAAAATCCCAGTGGGATGCAAGTCGAACAATAACAACCAATAAGATAATTTAGATTAAAGTTATCAGGCTAACTCTGTACTACAACAAACACGCATGGCTCAACCATACATTTTCGAAACCACCAAAACGAAGCTATAAAGCAATGTAACAGTGATCATAGGAACTGTGATTCAAATTTAACAATAAACGAGAAACATAACATGTACGACCCATCTTTGCAGCCATAGCTGGCAGCATGAGTCACTCCATAACAGCAGGAGTATCAGCAGGAGTATAAATATTTTTCAATGCACCTTTAAAGATCAGCGCACTATAATCAAAACTCAAGGTCATCCTTTGCAGCGGACTTCCGTAGAGATGCATTTGATTTCAGGCCACTCTGCATCGCAGTGGCAGCGGGAGGTGTACAGCTCCTCAAGAGCAGTTTTGAGAGCAGGTCTCACAGGTAATGATCCAAATTGCAGTTTATTGGCGATAGCATTCCAGACCCTGGGGGCATCAACAGCAAAGGACCTTCATCCAGTATTTGTACGGCAATAAGGAATGTGAAGCTGGTAAATGAGCAAGGACCTTAAGTCAGCAGGTAGTCTGTTGATTATTTTGTAAGTACATTCGTGAATAAATAAGGTATGATGCACAAGCCGTCAATCATTAGGAGATGTTAAGTTTGACCCAATGTAGAGATCGCAGTGGTGGGTCCTATATGGGCAGTTCAATGCAAATCTTAAGGCCGAGTGATAATTTGGGTCAAGCTTCTTCAGTACAGTACTGGTGGCTGATTAATATACGATGTCACAGTAATCAAGTAGAGGTAGTATGGTAGCTTTTATCAATTTCAAACGGAACATAGGGGGAAGCAATGCTTGTGTCGATACAGAAAAACAATGTTTTATTTTTACCAATATAATCAATGTGATTTTCAAAATTCCGTTTTGAAGATGACCCCAATATACTTATAGATCTTTACTTGCTCTATTTGATAATTATTTAAGGAATGTAATTGGGGAAAAATAACTTCCTGCTTTAGTCCTGGTGAGAAGCATAACACCTTGGTTTTGGAGGTATTCAGGACTAGTTTAAGAGCAACCAGCTGATGTAGTAGTTTGTTGAAATCACCCTGGAGCTTAGCAATCACGTAATTCGGAGAGCGGCCAGCAGTAATCAGTATCTTGTCATCTGAAAACAGATTTACCCTGGAATGATCCAGGTCAGTTCCCAAGTCTTTGACATGAAGAGAGAACAAGAGGGTGCCGAGGATGGAACCCCGTGGAACCCTTTTGTTATCGTAACACTGTTTGACCTCCAACCATCTATTAATACAGTTTGGGTGCGAGAAGAGAGGTGATCTTATAATCATTCCACTGCGTGTTTGGAGAAACGGAGACAACTTAGTTTGTTTAACATGTAGGCTTTCGCGACCAATGTTATTCATAATCAACGTTTTTGGGTTTAGATCGCGTTATTTATAAATGTGTCGTAACCCTCCACCACTCGACACGGCCAATCTGGCGAATTGCCCGATGATTCTGGATGCAATTACCAGCAAAACGTCGTACTCAAATTGTAAATGTGGTGGCTTTAACACACCGGTGGGCTAAAGCAGTGAACTATTTGTCTTTGTCAACGTGACACTTTTTTACTGATTGGCCGTGTCGGGTGGTGGAGGGTTACGACACATTTATAAATAACGCGATCTAAACCAAAAAACGTTGATTATGAACAACTTAGTTTACTAAGCAGGGTGTTGTGGTCGACTGTATCAGAGACTTTGGACAAGTCAAGAAAAAGACTGTCGCAGTACTGCTTATTATCAAGGCCACTGTAAAATGTGATTTAGAGAGCCTAATGCAGCAGATGTGGTGCTGTATTTTTTTCGGAACCCAGATTGGTTTCGATGTAAGAGATTATTGTCGGACAGGAAACTGCGAATTTCGTCGTTCAATAACTTTTTCCAAAAATTTCATCAACGCGAACAAAATTGATATAGGTCGGTAGTTATTTGGATCATCTTTCGGGCCCCCTTTGTGAAGTGGATGAACATAGGAATGTTTCCATTCTACAGGTCCCGATGCGTCTTTGATGGACAGGTTGAAAATATGGGCTATAGGTTTGTATATTAGGTGACCAACAGTTAGCAGAGCAAATACAGGAATACTATCTGCTCCGCTAGAGGAGGACCTTTTGAGGTAGGACAGTTGTTTCTGAACATTAATTTCGTGGATTGGCTTGAAACTAAATTCGTTTAATGTTTGGACAGGGGTGTAGGAAATTTCATGAGCAGGGGTGACTCCAAATACATTATCAAAAAAATGAAGGTTAAAATTGTCGACAAATTTTTCGGGCTTTAAAAATAGTCTCTATTTCGGTGTAGTGCAATGGGAAGATTATCTCTGTTAGGTGCCTTTTGACTTTTTTCCGGAAGATCCTGGCATTGCAATGTGATTCCAGGAGAGTGGGGGAAATGTAAGCTTATTTTTTTCATGCCGTATTTTTTACATATATATTCCTTAAAATCCTGTCCTCTAACCAGTCATTGATCAAATTACTTTTCTGAGCACATGCCCAAGCCTTGTCCCTAGTTTTCATGAGCTTAGTAATCAAAGACTAAAACCATGGTGGGCGGTTGCCTTTAATTTTAAATCTAACCAACAGAGCATGTTTGTCAAGAATTTGGAGAAATGGGTACCTGAAGGTCTCCCAAGCCGTAGTCAGGTTGGGGATATCAATATGCAATCATAACCTAACTTATAAGTAGGTTTTGTCGCTGTAAAAATTGATCGCCTAGATTCCTTTCTTTTGGTGCAGATGAGAATGCCGTAGATGGATGGTCATGGTGAAACGTCACTCTGTGTTGTTTTTGTTTTAGTGCACGTGGTCGCAACAGGCTGTCTTGGGTCTGGCCGCATTTGAGAAGTGGGCATCGAACAGTGCCCTCAAAAAATTCCGAGGTAACTTTTTTTCTTTTTAACTCCGTTACATAATTCGCTAGCGATGCAGCTCATAAAAACTGTGCATTTGATCAAGCTTGAGTGTTCAACGAGCAATAGCAGGCGCTCATTGTGCTATGTTTTTAGTAATAATGAGTGTTTTTTGCAAAAATGATCCTCTTTGTCCATGAATTCTGCATTGGCAAAGGGGACTGCAAATGTCCAGCTCATTCCGTTCTCTTCGGATCCTGAGGATTCACACGTTAAGTAAAAAAGACACCCTCGCAGCGCACCGCGTAACGCTTGTAAAAACCAACAGAAGACTCCACCTGTGTTGAGGCAACATCACTGAGACATCCACCACATGGCTCTTACATACGTTCATGTTCGACGTGATGTGGGTGCTGAAAAGTTCCTAAAACAGCTTTCGGTCTCCACGTTGGGTGTAAAGCCTACCACGTACTCTGTCTAATAATCCGTACAGCTTGCATAGCTGCGGCCCTTGATACAAAATATTAGTGTGTGTGTGCATATATATTTTAATATCGGAGGCCTGTTTGCCCAACCTCCATGGAGATAATGTCGATGGAAAATATGGCTTGTGCACAAGCTATAGCCATTTATACCAGGACTGAAAGAGAAATGACAGAGACAGTAAAGATGGCAGGACGCTGAAATATTGATTGGAGGGGTTTAGTTAAGTTATTGGGAGCTGTATAACAATACATCGATGTATTGATTGATACAAATGCTTAATCTCACGATAAATACATATAATGCCTGTGGAAGAATCGATGAGTTTCGCTGTTTGGGTTGTAATGGGATCCCAGGACTCCTGCTCTCACACTAATGAATCCGAGAATGATCTCATTGTAAACAAAAACTAAATATTTCATTGAATTGTGACCCTGAATCGTGGCAATTCATCGAATCGCCAGGGTTTGTGGGCAAATCGTTAAGCCTCTAGAGGAGAAGTTGGATACTGGATATTAAGAGGGGGGCGGAGGGGGGAGCTAGAGTTTGGGAGGCTAAATGAGGGTCTGGAGACGATTTGAAGTGAGAAGACTGTGAGGCTCAATGGGGTAGTCTCGACAGGAGGAGTCTGGAGGCCTAATGTGTAAGGATTAAGAGGACTGAGTGGAACGTCTGAAGGTCGGGTGAAGAGGGTCCGTGGGCGAGGCAGAGCCGCGGGGAGGGAGTGGAGAAAACTCGCCGAGTGCCCGGCTCTTTAACCGTACTGCCCGTGGCTGCGCGACAGCCGGTAGTCAACGAATGTCCGTGCGTGCACAGGCGCAGTGCACAGTGCACTTCACTTGTGTCCAACGGCCAACGGCGAATCAGGGCAATCCGATGCAGTATTAATCCCATCATTTCACTTTTAACGGAAATAGCCACCTCGGATGTTTTTAACCGCGTACACAATAATACGTAGGCTATAAATATATTTATAAATTAAGTCGCACCGTGTATTTGTCTTGAGAGGAAGAGAGTCTCACAGTGACGGTTTTAATAAAACAAACTAAGGTAGCAATGCTACTCACAAGTAATCGTGCGTCTTGCTTTCATGCCGTTCTCCCCATCGCTCAAATTGTGACTCGGAATCGTGACAATTCATCGTGCAACTTCACGCTGCTTTATTAACACCATAGCCAGATGCGTTAATCGGGCTTGATCCATGGTTGATCGCAGGTATTTTTTTAAAATAAATATATCAAAATAATTCATCTCTAACATG